CAAGCCAGGAAGGGTGTGTGTGAGAGAGATTTAGCTTTTGCAGTCACTCTCTTCAATTCCATGACCCTCTGAATCACAAATAAAGCTTTGAGGCTGATTAGCCTCCGATTCAGCCTGCTTTGGGGGAACTGCTTCAATTTGAATATCTCCGAAATCTAGTTTGGGATTCAGACATCTCCCTGAAATCAGTGCAGCAAACACAATTATGTGGTTTCTGAGACACGGGGCCACGTTATTACTCTTTGTATCTTGAAATACTTTCAAAGATCCTGGAGGAAGGGAAGTTGATTGATGGGCTTCATTTGTGCTGGGTCTCAGCATTGTGCACTTGATTTCAGAGAAGAAGAGGGAAATATTTAAGCAGCCCCCAAAATAGGAATGAGAAGTAGGCTAGGATTTGTCTCTGCTAGTACCAGAGAATGCATTGACCTTCTTACTAAACACTACACGGGAATGATGGGGTTTCACTTCCTTTCCTGTCACTGCATGATGCATCTATGTAGATCTAAGCACCAACAAATTTTGTAAAATCTAAGCACTTTTGACTTAACCTTTCATGCTTCCTTGGAAAAGCAGCTTGATCTATATTTATTTCAACTGGTAGGAGGCCTCATGCTTACCCAACACATTTTTTGGTATTACAAAAAATTAGGAGTAACATTTTCTGATATTGTCTATGGGGATTCTCAGTTGTCCAGATCATGGTTGTCCCAAAGGTGTTTTCTTTCAAAAGACAACTGGACTTCCTTATTTTGCTAAAAGATGTTTTACTTCTTATCCAAGAAGCTTCTTCAGTTCTAGCTTCTTGGATGAGAAGCGAAATGTCTTCTAGCAAAACAAGAAAGTCCAGTTGCCTTTTGAAAGAAAGCACCTTTGGGACATTTTCTAATATTGCTTAGATTCAGAATGACTTCTAATCTATTTTTTTGGAATTCTGGAAATATTTCAGCAGCCCTGAGAGTTTTATGTTCTAAAACTGGATGTTGGAAGTACCCAGTTCCTAGACTTCTGGCCTCTTGCAAGCTTTTTTCACATGTTTGGGCTGAAATTCAATCACCCATCTATTTTAGTCTAAAGCTATTCCTCTGGGCATCTATTAGTCCAAGATTTACAGCAGAATTGTTCAAACTTGGCAACTTTTAAGATGTGTGAACTTCAGCTCCTGGAATCCCCTAATCAGGCATGCTGGCTGGGGAATTCTGGGAGTTGAAACTTATACATCTTAAAGTTGCCAAGTTTGAAAAACACTGATTTAGAGGAAAAATAAAAGAAGAGACAACATGGATGGTAAGTATCATCCTCAGACAAAGATTGCTGCGTCTCTGTACCTTTGAACAAGTCAAAGAAAACTTATTTTCTTTCAGCTAGGTATATTTAAATACTATCACACCCAGAAGCACTGCAGTTGTGTAAGAAAGTTTGGTGGTGCACTCTGAAAGTAAGTGATGAAGTACACTGATGATATTACCTAGTGGGGTAATGAAATGCCTGCAAGAAAGCAACTAAACTCAGAAAACACTAAGACAGGAATGGCTAACCTTTTTGGCACCGAATGCCGAAAGTGTGTATGCGTGCACACCATAATGCAATGAACGTATGACCCCCTGCGTGCCCTGCCCCCCCCCGCACATGCGTGTGCATCTTCCACATGCGCTCCACCCCCACACATGCACGGCAGAGACCCCAAAACCAGCTGGCTGGCGGGAAGTGCGCGTGCATACGCAGTGGAGCTGAGCTGGGGCGATGGCTTATGTGCCTGCAGAGAGGGCTCTGAGTGCCACCTGTGGCATGCGTGCCATAGGTTCGCCATCACAGCACTAAGAGATGAAATGTGTCCATCACCAAGAGGTGAAACTAACAGGAGAAAGAGTTTTAAAACTCTGCTGTCTTGTTTTCCAATTCCTGGCTGAGAATTTTGGATACTTTCAGTTAGATTTGTTATCCACCATAAACCTGATGTTATTTCCTAAATTCACCTACCTTTTTTATACATTACTGTTTCAGTAACTAAGAAACATGGTGTGTGTGGGGGGGGGGAAGGGTGTAGCAGAAAACAACCACAACAACAAAAGGTTTATCTTCCAGGAAAAAAAACACCCTCTAATGAATAAAAAAATCTTTATTCCCATGCCAGTGGTTCTTAAACAGAAAATAATTCCCCCTTAAAGGAGTTAATTCGGCATATCCTAGAGGTAATGGAACAATTTGTAGAGTCAAGCATCTACTTCGGGACTTCTGTTACTAAGATGCTTGTGTAAAATAATAGGTTGTTGGGTTTTTTTGTGAGAATAATGAATTAATACAAGACTGGGGAAAGGGGTAATTGGGTCAGACAACTGAAAAACCACCGCCGTATGTTGAAAGTGGATGCCAAATGCGAATTTTCAGTGTGAAGCATATCAGTTACAACATTTCATCTCATTAAATAAAGAAATGCACAAGTCTCTCAGCGCTCAATGTTTTCCATTGGAAAAATAGTTGTACAAGTCCAGTATGATTTCCAAGCCTCCAGATATAAAGATTTTCCCCCGCTTCTAACTAAAAATCCAAATAAGATTTTTTGAGATCAATCTTTGGGAGTATCATCTTCTGTACCCAAGGCAGTCCCCCATTTAGGGCTTGACCAAGTGTCCCTGGGACGGACATCTGATTAACCAAAATGAGCTATTCGTTGAAACTATTTTTATTATGGAGGGTTGGCTTCCTTGTACTTTCACTAACTATTTTCACTAACTCTTTTTATTGGGTAAAAATACTAAAAAAGATCTCATGACACATGGTTTCTGTTCCTCTGTGGCCCACAAAATGTCTTAGAATGTATTAAAGAATGCAACAGTAGTAGTAATAGTAGTAGTAATAATAGTAGTAATAGTAGTGATAGCAGTAGCAGCAATAGTAGTTTATTAATTGATTAGTCTTACAACCATATCAAAAAAGAAAGTAAAATGAAATGAAAATAAAACATGGGTTCTAATTCCAACGACAAAATAGAGAAGGGAAAATACAGCAATAAAATACATATGTGGTAAATACAAAGAATTAGCATTCAGATAAATACGTCATCTTTATAGATGACTTCATTCTGTTTGATATAATGGGTTCTTAGCTCAGCTACTCTGTCTTAACTATAAACTTAGCAGCTCTGCTCACAAATGTCTACATTACAGCCCAGGAGGACATAAGACAATCTGTGATTCAGATCCCAGTGGGCTATTCTTTCAAGCAGGGATGTTAAATGTCTACGCCTAAGACACAGTCGACAGTCAAGAAAATATGAACACTATTTTTGATAGCTGGAGCACCACATATACATATCTTTTCATGATATGTTATTTTGGCTACATATTTCCCCAGCTATCTCTACTCCCCACTCCCTTTCCCACAGCTCTATCCAGCTTCGCTGTGCAACCCTGAAGAAATTCTAAGATGGCTTCAGAGTTGACATAAATATTTTGGAAATTCTGCAGCTATACAGAGCATGTCCGTTTCAATGTCTTACTGTCTGCCATAGAATATGGAAAATACTGAAAGATAGTGACCATGCTGACCGTATACATTCATGTCAAGAGGATGATGTGAAGTAATTTGACTATGTTTCCTAGTTCATTAAACAAGGGCATTCGTAATAGTTATATCACACCTGTATTATGACATTTCCTAGGTAGATTGAATGCTTTTTATATTTCATGGTCACTGGCAAGCTAAATACAACATAAGTATGTGGACTTGCTTTTGGTGAGGTGGGCAGCTATACAAATTTGATAATAGATAGATAGATAGGTAGAGAGAGAGAGAGAGAGAGATGATAGATAGATAAAGCCAAATTTGTGCCACTCTCAAGATTATTAGATGATAACCTCAACAGAGTGTTATTTTAATAGATAATTAGATAGCAATTAGATAATTAGATAGCAATAATTAGATAGCAACAAAGGCTATGCCATCTGATGTTTCCTCAGGTTTTTGCGGTCCAAATGCACTAGCCCTAGTAAGCCTCTTCTTTGTTTCCGCTTACATCCTTTAATTGCTTTTTCTTCTGAATGTAGCAATCACAGTTTTGGGATGCCTTCAGGAAATACCATCTGAGTGCAATCAGCCATTTCTCTGTTGAAAATTCTGCAACCCCCTACTTGGATGGATGGCTATTCCATTTGTGTATTGCTGAGTGGAGGATTTATAGATGAAATGGGTGGATTTTGGTTTGGAAGGGCAGTTCTGGAGATATTCTTAATGAGAACTTTGATGCTATAATGTTCAATAATTTGTTTTTTTTTCTTTTTTTTAATAAAAAAAGGAACATATTTATCCAAGTGTATCAAAGACATGTGAACTCTTTATTATTCCCTGCATTGGTAAGACTGCACCTGGAACACTGTATATGATTCTGGGCACCACATTTTCACAAAGACATTGATGGGATTGAGCAGGTTCAGAAGGCAACAAAGGCGATACCAGCACTTGAGGACATGCCATATGAGGACAAGCTTGAAAGAGCATCTTCAGTCTAAAAAAAAGAAAATGTAGGGGAGACGTGATACAGAATCAGTGTTGAGGTACATATAAAGGGACCATGGAGAAGATGGTTAGGAATGATTTTCTACTGTCGTAGAAACACGCACCAGAAATAATGGGCATTAGGTTTTATCTAAGTAGATTTTCCCCAGTAATTTTCCCCAGTTCCTTTCTTTAGCAGTCCCAGTTATTGGTGATACTGGATATCTTTAGCTAAGTTAGAAAATTAGTTTTCATTTTCATTTATTTAACATTATCAGCTTTCTTTGGGGGAAATGGAGGAAAATTCATTTGATTTGGGTTTATCCTCTTCACATCCCCTGCTCTTTTATGTAATCTGAAGCATCTACTGGCATCTTTCAGATCCAGAATTTGACTTGCCATTAAAGGAAAACTCATAAATGTACCTCTGAGCTTACATCTAAGAAAAGCGTACTCCATCATTAGCTTTATTAGAGAAAAGCACCAATACACTTACATGAAGAAAATGTGTCTAAATTGAAGTTTATTAGGAGGCGCACGTACAACTTTGCAAAGTACCTTGAAAAGGATAGGTCGGAACATGGCGAAGATTGAAATGAACAGACTTTTTTTTACTACCGTTTCTGTGGGTGTGGCTTGGTGGGTGTGGCATGGCTTGGTGGGCGTGGCAGTGGACGGATACTGTAAAATCTCCATTCCCTCCCCACTCCAGGGGAAGGATACTGTAAAATCCCCATTTCCTCCCAATCAGCTGGGACTTGGGAGGCAGAGAATAGATGGGGGCAGGGCCAGTCAGAGGTGGTATTTACCGATTCTCCGAACTACTCAAAATTTCCGCTACCGGTTCTCCAGAACTGGTCAGAACCTGCTGAAACCCACCTCTGATTCAGTGCCAATTGAGATAACTGTTTCTAAGGTGATGTGCTGATTTCAAATGAAGATTTGAATACAATGACGACCTCTTGTTGCATGGGCAAGGACGCCTGCTGCAATCTTAGTATTATTATTTAATTAAACAAGATAACTAATATAGGCCAAAATATGCTGTTGGTTTATGGCATCTACTTCTTGATCTATCCCTGCAGGCACCAGTTGTCACAACCAAGGTTCAACCTCGGACCCAGGGTAAATAAACATAGATTCAGTGGCTTCTGAGCAAGTTCAGAGTGTATTTCCTTCACAATTATTACAGAGAATTCTAGATAGTTTGGGTGATTAGATGGAGAAATGGTTACAAGTCATGGGTAATGCTTCTAGGTTACTGTCAGCCTTTGGTTGGTTTGTGTGTTCAAAGAACCCTGGGATCTGAACAGTCATTTCACCATTACCAAAGTGGCTCCATCCAACATTTCTAAGTACAATGTGCTATGCTATGCTATGTTATGCTCTGCTCGGCTGGTTGATTGGGCTGGCTTTTTTTTTTTTGTTTGTTTGTGTGTGTGTGAATATATAGCTACATTCCAGCAGGATAGTTGGGATTCCAAAGTACATGATTTCCTTCTCCTTCAGATTTTTTGGGCCCATGATTTTTCAGGAAGGTAAAGATTTTTTGCATACATAAAATATTTTTGTGTTACAGGATATATCATTCCATTTGCCACCCTGAGAGATCTCGGCGCAGTCTTCATTACTGCTGTGGTCATTGGGTTCACCTTCTGACCAATTCCTAAATAAGGAAGATAGTCAAATTAGTCTGAGAGAAATTCTGAAAGAGATGCCTTTCCTTTTCACCCATATCATCTTCAGCCTGCCAAGTGTAACCTAACGCAGAAGGTCTGTACTTTTCCAGTGGTGGCTTTGGATGAGTCATGTATATCAGTGGTGGGTTTCAAACATTTTTATTACCGGTTCTGTGGACGTGGCTTGGTGGGCGTGGCAGGGGAAGGATACTGTAAAATCTCCATTCCCTCCCCATTCTAGGCGAAGGTTACTGCAAAATCCCCATTTCCTCCTGATCAGCTGGGACTTGGGAGGTAGAGAATAGATGGGGGCGGGACCAGTCAAAATTTTTACTACCAGTTCTCCGAACTACTCAAAACTTCCACTACTGGTTCTCCAGAACTGGTCAGAACCTGCTGAAACCCACCTCTGATGTATATCCCACTGTTTTTCAGTATGAAACTTCAGGAAGCATCTGTAGGCCTTCAAAACTCAGCAGGGAATCTGCCAGATTGGGACTGGTTTATTATTAACACAATATCTATCTGTAAACCATGCCCTGTATCTTATATCATTGTCTTCTCATCTATGGAGAAGACTGATTCCTCACCTGACTCTTGGAAGCTATACAAGGACATGGAATTAGTGCTCTTCTGGATTTACAATTGCCAAAAGTACTAGCCATCATAATCAATATTGAGGTATATTAGGAATTACAATTCAGCAACATCTATTACCTATTACCAAAACTCCTAAAGTCTTTTTCACATGTAATCCCACCCTTGGCTGCCTCATGGGGATTAAATGCAAATTACCTCATTAAAATGATTTGGGGTGGCCACTGTCTCCCACATTTGCCAGCTTCATAACTTTCTTCATTCTACTTCTTACTTGTGAATAAGTGTATCCCTAATGGTTGACATTATTGACTTCTTGTCAATGACAAAGGCTCAGTGGAAGTCCATTGCCAGCTAGCTGAGCCTTCATGTTCTCCTTGTTAACACTGCTTAGGTGAGCTAGCAGTGAAAGGGAAGGTGGTTGACAAAAATAGGTGCAATGAATGAGCAGCAAGGATAGTAGTGATGAATGAGTAGATGAATTCCAGATTTTGTAGGATTTTTAGAACGTCTCTGTGCTTATTCAGCTCCAAACTGAACATCTTCTTGAAAGAGGAGAACAAGGCAAGTGGAAGAAACTTCACTATGTTCTTTTACTCTAGTTAGAAGGAATAGCTGAAAACATAGAGGAGAACTAGCAGCTATGGTTGCTTCTAGTGTTCAACTGGGTCAACTAATCCTCTACACCAGTGAGGCCATCTTATAGGAGAAACATTTGATTAGCCATTGTTAGATGACCAGTTTTTTCATCTCACTATCTTTTCAAGCCCAATGCATCGGAGTTACTTTAGCTATTTCAAACGTTAGGAATCGATAAGCATGGGCATGGATTTGCAAGTCTCTAGAATGCACATAGAACTTCCAACCATTCAGTATTTGCCCTTCCTGACTACTCTCCATTGCCTACTAAATGCTTACTGGTAACATGCTGGCAATTCTGTATATGATCTCCTTTAACTTATGCCAAGCACTGCTCTGATACAATCTCAGGAAATAAGCAAGATAGCCAAGAGCACCGGCTGTTTAAATTGCTCATAATGGCAAGTATTCAATTATGAAGTCCTGTGACTAACAGCTTCATCTTGCATGAGTATATATGGATGTTGCCTTCATTTGGAAGATCTCATTGAACTGTCACTTCAAGTAGATCAACTATACATTGTTTTAAAGGGTGATTGCATTTCCCCCCCCCCAGTGGTTCCCTAATGTATTACTGATTGAAAGTATGCTTAAAAAAAGAAATTCTACCTTGCTTCCTTGCTCCTGCCAGTTATTTGTCAATATTGAATTGGTCAATTTGGTATTTGAAAGTCACAAAAGTACCATAAATAACAGTCAGATATTTTATAGAAATCTTATGGAAACATTCTGTGTAAGTAAAGTTCACTCTTTATGCATGTGGGTGTTAAATGGAAGGTGTGAGGAAGAAAACAGGAAGATGGATTAAAAAATATTCAATGCAGCATAGAATTGTGTAATATGCAATGTCTAGTCACTACAAACAGAGCAGTGATGGAATTCAATGTTTTTTGCTACCGGTTCTGTGGGCGTGGTTTGGTGGCGTGGTGTGGCTTGGTGGGCGTGGCTTGGTGGACATGGCAGGGGAAGGATATTGCAAAATCTTGATTCCCACCCCACTTCAGGGGAAGGACACTGCAAAATCCCCATTCCCTCCCTACTCTGGGGCCAGCCAGAGGTGGTATTTGCCGGTTCTCCGAACTACACAAAATTTCCGCTACCAGTTCTCCAGAACCTGTCAGAACCTGCTGAATAGCACCCCTGAAACAGAGACAATTCTTCTTTGTGCCAACAGGGACTTGGCCTCCTTATTCTTCTAAGTTTAGAAGAATGAAATATTTAGAATAGATTCTCTGCTATTCTCAATGCAGTTCTTTTCCTCCTGCCCAGGCCCCAGTCCAATGGCAGCATTTTAAGACAGCAGGCCTTTGGACTTCCAGGAGCTTCTGCACTTCTGTTTCTAGCATCCACCATCACCATTCTCATATTTTTTGTTGGAGTTGCTCTGGATTGTAGTTTAATAATATTATGAAGGAACAGGTTCACTACTCCTGCCTCATAATAAAACAAGTGAACAAAGAATATGGAGAGGCTTGGCTAAGAAGGAATGCTTAAGATACCAACACAGTCCTATATTAGTCTTTTCTCCCAAATTTTACGGAAGTTTAGGTTTTGTGGCAGAGTTCATGCCTGCTAATTTAGGACAGAGTTTCTCAACCTCAACCTTAAGAACTGTAGAATTCAACTCCCAGAATTCCCAGTCCAGCATTCTGGGTGGGGAATTCTAGGAGTGCCAGCATTTTGGCTGGGGAATTCTGGGAGTTGAAGTCCCTACATCTTAAAGTGGTCAAGTTTGAGAAATACTGGTTTAGGGTGTTGAATACTTTTAATAGGAAAGGAGCTACTGGAAACTTGTGTTTCTGCTTTTTCAGAATGGAAAATTCAGGAAATTTGTTAAAACTCCTGTCTAATGGTATGGTAGGATATGAAAAGTGCATTGCATAGGCTTGTCTTACTTGAAGCTGGTTCTGTAATCTGTGCTATCAACCCATCTCCATTGCCCTTCATCATTGTGATCACTGAGTCCAATCCAGTAGCGCTGACCCCTGGTTTCAGCCTGGACGAAATTCTAGGGTGCCAAAAGTTGAGGAAGGAAAAAGGAATCAAAGTTATAATGGCAGAAGCAACACCAACAGTGTTCCAAAATACTTACATTGAATTCATCTGGAAGAACTTTTTTATCTGTATTCATAGTAATTAACTACAGTCATATATTACAAGGCCTTCCTAAAGTGCTTATTCCAAAAATATGTTTTGGTTAATTCAATGACCATGAGTCTGGTCCATCCTGTTAAAGCTTTGATTATGAAACTGATTTGCCTCATTTGTAGCATTCAATAAGATCCTTTGACAAACATCATCTTCCAATTGCAGTTTTCTTGACTTTTTCCGCCATCATTTCTATGTTTCTTTCCCACATAAAAAGAACATGGAAGAAACCACCGTTCTTCCTTTTTTGTTTTTGTTTTTTTTTAGGGAGGGGGCCTTTTCTCTGGAATATTCTAGTATAGCAGCCTTAATCATAGATGGTGCGCTGAAATATATTAGTATACTTTGTGAAACAAAATGTAAAGGTCTATATCTGGGGTGTCAAACTCGATTTCATTGAGGGCCGCATCAGGGTTGTGTTTGACCTCGGGGGGCTGGGGTCGGCATGGCCAGATCGATGTCACTCCTGTCGGGGGTGCCTGTGGCAGTCCGAGTTTCTTTGTTTGTGGTTACATCGTGGTGGGCAAAGTAGCGGTTTCATGCTATCACTGGAAGGGGCAGGACTAGAGTTCCAAGAGGTATATATCTTTGAGGGAAAAGGCTTTGTTTGGACAGATTTTTTTTTTTGTAAAGAAAACCTTCCAAATCATGCAAGCAATGTTGCTTTTTCGGTGACATTGCAAAATTCAGTGGCGCAATATCTAGATCCTGCAATCTGCTCTCCAAAAAGAAAGAAAAAAAATCACCCAGCTTTAATGAACATGCTGATGTAATGAGGAGTGCTTTGTACAGATCATCTTGCTTTATTCAAAAATGCACCAGAGGACATATCTAAGCATATTGTACCTGTATAATGTATTCAATGTAAATCAACTCCTAGTTGCTTTTTTTTACCCTAGGGTAAATTGTCTTTCAAAAATCAAGGAGGAAAAAAAAGGCAATAAATTGTCTTTCAAAAATCAAGGCGATAAAATGGCAGAACTTGTAACAGAGAAGTAGTGGTTGGGGAAATGTTCCCTCCAGGGGTGAAATTCAAATTTTTTCCCTACCGGTTCTGTGGGCGTGGCTTGGTGGGTGAGGCAGGGGAAGGATACTGCAAAACCCCATTCTCTCCCCACTCCTTGGGGAAGGATATTGCAAAATCTCCATTCCCACCCCACTCTGGGGCCAGCCAGAGATGGTATTTGCTGGTTCTCCGAACTACTCAAAATTTCCGCTACCGGTTCTTCGAACTACTCAAAATTTCCGCTACCGGTTCTCCAGAACCTGTTAGAACCTGCTGAATTTCACCCCTGGTTCCCTTCCAACATAGCTAGTCAGGAGTTGGTAGCAGCTTTTAAACCTACACCTTCTCCCAAACAAATACCAGGATCCTTACCTGTTCATACTGATTGGTAATGACTATCAATTCTGACTTCTGTTCTTCACAATGACTCTTTGCTGTGTGCCAAATAACTTGTTGGATGGAGAAGAAGTAACATGCACCATCAAAATGTTTCCATTCTCTGCTTTTGGTTCCACATGGGTACACTGGCAAAGAAGAAAATAAAAGAACTTTTCTAGCTTTGGTTGCCAGAGGTTTTGGTCTAGATGTCTGCTATATTGCACTGGCATTTTGGAAGAATGTAGTTTTTCTGCAGTAGAAAAGCAGGAAAACTAAGTCTGTTGTAGGATATGATCAGCTGGGGAACTGGAAGGCTACTTCAGCTGTGTGACAAGTACAGCATGAGTGAATTAAGTGTTTCCCTCTGGAAGAACTCAAAGGAATAAACTTAAGTCTCAGTAAATTATTTAGTACATTGAAAAGAGGAAAAGATCATGTTAGAATTTAGAAGAGAGGGAAACAGAATTGCTTTAGAGATGTCTGGACCACAATTTTAGTGGAAATAAATGATGGCCCTGGGCAGGGAGTTGGGTTAGAAGACCTCCAAGATCCCTTCCCTATCTAAGCGACAATTTACTGTGAAAAGCAGATTTTATGGCGGAATTTGATCCTCAAGGCAGTGATTGTGTTTTTACTCAGGGGGACCCTTGTACAGAGGCTTTGAAGGCTTACTTTATTTGCCAAGTTTTCTGGGATCACATGGTATCCAAAAAATTACTTGGTTAAAACTGAGGTGCCAGAGTACAATCCTGCATGGAAAATGCACTGTATTGATATTTATTCTCCTAAAGGGCTCCATTGTGGGCTCTGTTGGGATCTGCTTTAATTAATAACCCCCCCACACCCAACAATTAGGGCCTGCAGCAGCCCCTGCACTTCTTGAAAATTACTTACTGCTTTCTAGCTGTTGCTGCCATTTGCTGCTTCCTGTAGGAACAGAAATGTACACAATAATATTACTAGTTGAGGAGTAATAAAAATACCATATTCAAAGGGATCCTAAGCACTCTGAAAAAAAACTAGCCTGGAATTAGTTTTGTAAGAACTTTTGAATTCTACACCATATGTCTCAAGCCTCAAAGAAAAGTATCCTTCACAAGTTACAGTTGCTCTCTCTCCTTCTCTTCTTCTCCATTAATATTGTAAGGTCCCAAAATACACTTGAGTCACCAGAATGCCAAAGAGAGAGACTCAAGACGAGGCTTGCAAAAAAGCAGATTTTATTTATTTATTTATTTATTTATTTATTTATTTATTTATTTATTTATTTATTTATTTATTATTGCGATTTATATGCCACCTTTCTCCCTAGGGACTCAAGGCGGCTTACAAAATGACAAATTCCAATACAAATCACAATGAAATAAAATTAAAATCAGCAACCCTATTAAAAACAGTTTAAAATTATGACAATGTATCCCCAAACGGATCAGTTAAGTTGACGAAAGAGCCACGTCTTCAGCTTGCGACGGAAGGAAAGAAGGTCGGGGGCTTTCCTGAGCTCAGTGGGCAATCCATTCCAGAGGGTCGGGGCTCCCACAGAGAACGCCCTCCTCCTGGGGGCCATCAGCCGACATTGTTTGGCTGATGATTTATGGCCAAAAACAAAATACTGGGAGGAAATATATCCAGAACATACAGATACAATGCATGCGAGGAAATAGCCACACCTTAGGGAAGGTATGGCGTCCTTTTATACCCTCAGAGATGTCAGCTTAGTACCCAATTCTGGCCTCCTAATTTAGATTTGTGTATTCCTTGTTGCCCTGCAAGGGGGAATAGAAACTTCCCCAATTAGTCTTATTTTAAGCATTTCTTTGTTTACTCAATTGGCCATTTGGCCCCCTGGCTCTCCAAGACAGGAGTTTATCCAGATCAAACATAAATTAGGGCTGAGGTGTAAATTATCCCTTTGTTGATGGCTGTAGTTCCAACTGAGATACATACCATGCTTTTAGATAGATTGATATGAGTTCAGGTCAAATGGCAGGGACATACGTTTAACACATACCAGATACATTACAGAGGCCTAATAACAGAATATGTTTGTTACAGGAGATACAAATATAAAGACATAATATGTGTGATACAAATACAAAGGCATATATGTATTACAGGAACCTAATGGTTACAGAATCTAGTATACCAGTATATCATATTCTAGTATTATTTATTATATCCTTATTATTGTTTCCCTTTCAATATATTTGTGCTTTGATAAGCTCATGCCTTTCAGGGTATGTCCTGTGAGCCCCATGATGAGCTGATGCATGGGTGGGCTTCAAAAATTTTATCAAGGGGTTCTCTGCCCGGGTGCTGGGTGGGCATGGCCATGTTGGGTGTGGCCTAGTCAGCCTCCTGCACCACAGTGGGTGGGGGGTTTGCCCTCCCCGGGTTCTGGAAGTTTTCTTTGAGCCTCCGGGAGGGCGAAAACGGCCTCCCCAGGCTCTAGAGGCCCTTTGGACTCTGGCCCCCTGAACTTCCAGTAGGTCCATTTTTTGCCCTCCTCGAGCCTCCATGCGCGCCCCCTGCACTTACCTACATCCAAAACAGGATGCGTGGGGACTCCTGGGATGGGTGGGGTGGGCAGGGCCAGCCAGGAGTAGGATTTGGGGGTTCTCTGAACTGCACAGAATCTTAGCTAGAGGTTCTCCTGAATCCCTACGAACCCCCAGCATCCCACCCCTGAGCTGATGTCTTGCCAGCTTTTGTTGACTAGCAGATTTTGTGAGGGGAATCGTGACTGGATGCTGAATCTGAGTTGGTGTTAATTTCTCCAAAACAAAGGTGAGATTTACAACTCTGGATGGCCATTCTTCATAAGTAGACCATGGAAACTGTCATTCTTATGATTGGCGTATGAGTGGAATGGCTGGAGTTGGGATTACATCAAGTTTACATTTGCAAAGCAGCCTATATGGACTTTAAGCTTGACTGATTCTTACATATGTTTCATCACTTTTGGAGATTTTTAAAAATGTTTTGTATATTGGAGAGATATAAGACCCTTCAGACTGCAAGCACTATATTCATAACTATATTGATTTTTTTTTGATCTATGCAACAAAAGGATGCTTAGTATACGAATTTTAGAAAGTTAACAATGGATTAAAGAACCAGAGGGATTTTAAATTATAATTTTCAACTATTTAGAAGATCTTTTCTCATTTGAGAAAATGGAGACTGTTTTTTGGGGGGAGGGGTTAATGGTAAGGAGACCTTGAAGGCTGGACAGTAATAGAGCATAAATCATTAGTACACATTTCTCAATACTATTCAGCCAAGCTTTTGGACAGAATGGAACAAATGCTTGCTAAAACAGAGCATGTTCTAATTAAGTGGTAAAACAAGAAGGAGCTGCAATGGATGTATATGAAATTAATTTGAAAGGATATTTAAATATAATTCAAATGGATCTGATGGATGACATTCCTAAATTACATGAACAGATATTAAATTAGGAAACTAATTTGGATATTTTTTCCCCTTCTGATTATACAGCAGAACTCTGTTAAGATTTGAAAAGACCTTTTATTTTTAGAAACGTCAAACAAAAGGATAGATTTTACTCATTAATACAAAAAAATTCTGTTGTGCTTCTGAAGGAGTTTCACTTTGAAACACAGATGATCAGCAATTACTACTGGGACTTTTTTAAAAAAAAGTTAAAGAATCATTTTACAAATTCAGGGAAGGTTTATAATATTGGCTTGTTCGACCAGAGTTAAAAATAGAAAATAATGATATCTGGTTATTCTTTCTGGACCTTTGCTTACAAAGATTGATTGGCATAGTATTTGGACTTTATTTTGTTTACTTAAGAGGTGAGCCATGGGAAGGAGAGAGATTATGCTTTATTTAGAAAGGGTGATAAAATTTATAAAATTGATTTTAACCTGGTGGGGATGAAGAGGGGAGTTTCTCCCCCCTTTTCCCCCTCCCCCTTTTTTACTTGTATGTTTTTTTGTAGTTTATAGAAACATCATCTGTGTGAGACATGGATACATATAAAATATATACAGATGCATGAGTGGTTTTGTGTGCTAATTTACAAGTGCTTTGATTGCATTTAGCACAACTGTAACTCTCTGTTGGGCAGAATATACTTTAAATAATGGGTAGGAAAGTGGAATTGTTTGACAATTCTGCAACAGAAGCTGTGGTTCAAGGGTGCTGATTAGATCAGGGGTCTCCAACCTTGACAACTTTAAGCCTGGAGGATTTCAACTCCCAGAATTCCCCAGTCAGCTTGCTGGGAGTTGAAGTCCTCCAGGCTTAAAGTTGCCAAGATTGGAGACCCCTGGATTAGATGGCCTTCTATGATATTTCAGTGCAATTAATCTACCTCTGAAGTTCTTAAAATTCTCTTTGTCCTCCTTCCTTGGCTTAATTTATGTGTAATTTTAATCATGATTTGCTTTGCCTAATTGTGGTTTTATTGACTGAATGGTTCCTATATTGCATTATATTTTTCAACAAGTCACAATTTAAAATAATATGATTTTGCTGTGGCAAGCCATAGTATAACATGTGCACACACAGATCTATCTATCTATCTATCTATCTATCTATCTATCTATCTATCTATCTATCTATCTATCTCTTATTTGCCACAATATGGAAAAAGCAGAAATTGGAGACATAGGTTGGGCCTTGTAGGTTTGGTACAACTGTTCTAGTATTTATTTACTTACTTACTTACTTACTTACTTACTTACTTACTTACTTACTTACTATATGGCAACTCTTCTAGCAATTAATTATTAGATCAAACCTCAATGTATTAAATGAACTATCCAGAGCCAAATGAACCTCAACTCATTATGAACTTTTCAGCTTGCCTCCGGCCTTTAGCCAAAAGCAGCTGGAATGTACTTGACTCAGTTCCAAATAATGTAATTACATGATTGGACTTTTGCATGTGCAGATGGAATGTTTAATAAGGAATACATAATGATGTAGCTGAATGAGAAGAAGCCTCAAAGAGCCATTTCTTTCAATCCATTTCTTTCAATCCATTTCTTTCAATCCATTTCTTTCAATTTTTAATTCTGTCAATCCATCTTGTAAAAGGATGATTTCCTTTTGATTTCACCCTTGATCAAATAAATCCATCTGCAGACTAATTCTTTGCATTGCATTTTATTCTGGCCAGGAAATAAAATATCTACAACAATTGATTTATAAGTCTCTTGTCTGAACACAGAATTTTGGCTTATTTCTGGCTTGTTTTTCTTCCCATTGAAGGTATTGGCAGAAGAAATGAAAGCAAAACTGTAAAAAACTAGATCAGCCCCATTATTTTACTTACCTGCATGACTTTTCTCTGTTCAGCAAACCATGATTTGAGAAACTTAATCTCAAAGACAGTGCTGGATTATAACATATGGCAATTAGCTGTAAAGGTGACACTTATATTTTGTCTCCTGATGCACATGCCTCTATATTGTACCAAGTCAGCTGGAAATTAATGTATGTTTTGTGGGTTCAGTAACTTGCTCTTTCTAGAATACTAAGAATTTGAGAGAATTTTAAAGCCACTTTCTACAACATTTGGTCCTGAAGCCCACACAGTATGTCAGAAATCAAAATAGTTGATTTACCTTGGGATGCCACAAGCCCAAACAATACAATGATCAGCAGGTAAGAAATAGCCAGAAGCACATAAATTATAGAAGATGTCGATTTCCATTGTGGAATATATCTGCCTTGGGGAGGGGAGGGAGGGGGGGAGAGAAAGAGAGAGATAGGGAGGGAGGGAGGGAGGGAAGTGGGGGGGAGAGAGAAAAAAAATGTTAGAATCTAGTATGAAAATTATTTCCAGTATTTGTGCTTTCAAAACTCCTTATGTAATAAAACCATTGGATAGACAATGCTCTACTATAGTGTTTTAATAATATTTTTAATTTCTAATGTTAGGAATGTGTGCATACCTAACTATGTGGTCTTGCTGTATTTCCCATAGTAATAAGAGTAAATAATACAGTTTTCTATATAAGCAGATTGCTATGAAACATAAAGAACCTAGCAATAACAAAAGAAAACATCAGTATTTATTTTGAGTTCTTTTTTCCTTTAGCTCTGTGCTGAGCAGTGATGCCACCAAAGTAATATTTTCTGGCTGAAAAGTTTGACTCATGGGGAATTGTATTACTAATCTTAAAATACAGGGCATATGTTATAATCTTATAATTTTTCTCCGGCTCAGAAAGTTAATTCAAATTAGAGTCAGGTTTATGCTCCTTGCTACAAATCAATAAAATAAGGAGGTAACATGTCAAAAATATAATGGATGCCATATTTTAATCAATATTCTATGTCTAAAAATGTACTGAAATCATAGGCATAAAATGATGTAATATAGACAGAATAATTCTGTTTCACCATTGCTTGCTTATCTTTTAAATTGAAATTCACGATTTGTTAAAATTTTGTGGATATTAGAGACCTTCAAAGCCATGAGCTTAATCTGGTAGCTAATGAGTTTTACCTTCTTCAGATTTAAGAAATTTTAAATTTAAAACATTTAAAAGAATTTAAAATAATATGCCGTTGGGAAAAAAGATGGGGGAAAGAGGATGTTGATGTAAGAATATTCTAAATGGATTGGGAGACCAGAGAGATTTGAAAGAGTGATTATATTTTTACTGTAAGATTTGAAAAACAAGTATATAATTAAATAATATACTGATGGGAAATGACTGAAAGGAAACCAAACCCATATTAGGAACTGAGGCTTGATTAAGGGTTGTGACTGGACAGTACAGGGAACTAAAGGACCAGGCAAAAAAAGAGATAAACTGGTTATAACTTTTTCTTATTTTAAGGAGATTTTTTAAAAAATATGGACTGAAATATTAATAGCTAATAATATGTCAGATACACATTTCAGTGGATAAACTTTTAGAAGTTGACAAGAAAAACGTTAAGAAACTTTTACATGATAGAGGACAACAAAATTGAGATTACTAAAATGGGAGTACAAAAAACAAATGAAGAAAAGGACTTGGATGTGGAATAGGCGCGGCAAGAAATCCTGGATGATACCCCTTTATAGGATTTACAAAGAAGCCGGGTAAAAACTTTGAAGATTTCTTTTAAATGCCAACAAGTGATGAAAGACCAAATCCTGCGATGCCATAAGAATGATTTAAAGGTTAAGATTGCGCAGAGCAAAAAAAGGAATAGAAAGTTGGACTATTTGATAAGGGATGAAATATTTGTTTGATATTTCTGGTAACTCCTAAAGGATTTTTTGCTGAACTAGGATTGAAAAGATGATTTCTGGAAGGCATATAGATAAAAGTTAGGCAATGGGAAGGAGAGTTTTTTTTTTAAAAAAAATTGTAACTTTGAAAGATGTGGGGGGAATTAGTATAATAGTTTATGCATTTTTATGGTCTTTTTCTTTTCTACTTCTACTTCTTTTCTTTTTCCCCCTGCATCTTCTGAACTTTCCTTTTTTCTAACTTAGTTTGCATTAGTTGTTGCTATGTGTACTGAAAGCTTCAATGCAATTATTAACAAAAATGTAATTTCAAAGTTAATGAACTTATAATAAAAGAATTAGAGAAATATACTATTCCAGAGCCTTTTAATCTGGGAAAAGAAAGATATTTTGAGATTAAAGAAACAGCGCTTGTATCCCAGCTAAGAGTAAGACACCCCTGTGAGCTGAAAGCAAGCAACAGGGAATGCCTTGATCCAGCTAGGAGAAACTATTTTTTCAGTCTTGCTATTCTGAAAAATCATTCAGAAATAATTGAGGCTTTATCCTCAATTATTTCTGGATGATTTTTCAGAATAGCAAGACTGAAAAAATAGTTTCTCCTAGCTGGATCCTAGCTGAATTGGGGGAGGCTAACCCTAACATTTAGTTCATCCCAAATGATCCTGGAACTGTTTTAGTTAAAGCAAGTCCTCTCTAATTCTAGTGTTAACTGAGTTTTATGATAAATATGACATCGTAGCTCCTCTTAACCCAGGCAAGCACAGCTAATAAGGAGCTGTTATGGCTCTGCAACCAAACAAGACAGATATAGACTTCAATGGATAATTAGAACTGCAGAAAAAACAATTGCTACCAACCTACCTTCCATTGAGGACCTGTATACTGCATGAGTCAAAAAGAGGGCTGTGAAAATATCTACAGACCCCTCGCATCCTGGACATAAATTGTTTCAACTTCTACCCTCAAAGCAACACTATAGGGCATTGCACACCAGAGCAACTAGACACAAGGACTGAATGCCATCACTCTGCTAAACAACTAATTCCCACAATACTGTTGAACTATTTACTAAGACTATTACTATTATTCTTCTCATCCTTCCTATCACCTATCTCCTTTCTACTTCTGACTAGAACCTTATTGCTTGTATCTTTATAATTTATATTGTTCTGTTTGTTTCCTAGTATGATTTGATTGCTTATTAATAACTTATGACTATCACTAAGTGTTGTATCTTATGATTCTTGATGAATGTATCTTTCCCCCCCTCTCTTTTTTCTTTTTTTCCTCTTTTATGTACTCTGAGAGCATATGCACCAAAGACAAATTCCTTGTGTGTCCAATCACACTTGGCCAATAAAGAATTCTATTCTATTCTATTCTATTCTATTCTATTCTATTCTATTCTATTCTATTCTATTCTATTCTATTCTATTCTATTCTATTCTATTCTATTCTATTTTTATGCTAAACAAATTCTTAATCTTTCCCCAACCATTAAAGTGAATCAATAATAAGTATTTACCAATTGTTTTTGCTGGCATGTGCATTCTGATTTCTGTTAAATATTCCTGATCTCTCACTTGCTGTTCGCAGTCATCGGTGGGATTCATTGTGCAATGAGTTTACAGTTGCAGTGGGTTTTTATAAGTTGAATTGAGGAACTTAAATATAATACATAAGCTCCCCCTCTTTCATTGCTGCTTCTTAGAAATGTCAAAAGGAAATTTGCTTGGAATTGGGCTCTTACTGGGTGGGTCCTGTCAAGGAGCCTGAAGCACAATCTTGAGATGTTGGTTGGGAAGAGTTTGATTCTCTAACTTATAAGGAAGTAGAGAATGATCTTTGGACTGCAAACCTGGTCACCTCTTTATTAGATCTATGCCTCTCCTGGCTTAATAGGCCACTTGGGAGATGGCTTAGATTAAGACCATGCTTGATGTTAGCTTTCTTGAGGGAAGAGGTGATTCTACTGGCCTTAAAGGAGACAGTGGTATGACCCTCCTCAGGAGGGCATCACCGGGTTTTACAGTCCTGCACAATTTCTATATAATTTTCAACTTTCCCTTAGATAATTTTATGTTAATTTCAATGTATCTCTTGTGGACATATATTGTTCGTCCTTATTTTATTTTTCTGGTTTTAATGTTAATGTCACTCAGAGAATGGGGAGAGTTGAACAGCCTTCTGAATTTGATAAATGAATATATAAAGCCACATCATATACTAAAGGCTTTAGGATTTAAATTTCATCAGAATAAACCTTTAATCTTTTTTTTAGGCCTTGCATTTAATCATGAAGTATTCATGCCTTACCAATACATTTTTTTCCTACTCCCATGATGTTGCCCTTACTTTGTCCCTAGGCCATGACTGATTGACTGATTATGTGCCATCAAGTTGGTGTCAATTTATAGCTTATAGAACTTATAGAAAATAAGCTTAATGGATCATCAAACAAATCAACCCAAAGTTCTCACATGAGGCACAAAGGATCAGACTCAAATTATGCTACTTTGATAAAGGTTCTAATGCTGGGAAAGGTGGAAGAAAGAGAAGAAGACAACCAGCAGCAAGATGGATGGATTCACTTTCAGTGGCAATGAATGCATTGTTGAGAGACTTTAAAGAACAGATTAGTGATGATTGCTGGGAGTCAAAAATGACTTGATGGCATATAATCAGTCAAATCAGTCAAATCTCCCACATCACAGGTAATTACTTTAGCAATCCCTTTTCCCTCTCCTCATATATATTTCATATAATTTGTGAGGGACACAAAAAGCAACATAGAGAAATCCAGGCAACTCTCATAGTTGAACAAAGCAGTTAAAAGACAAGCGATAGTAGATGCAAGCATTTCATATTGACTCGTCAGTACCAAACTTACAATAACACGGTTAAAAATCAACATAGAGCATAAAGTCCAGTGAGAGCATTAATTAGACATATAACGTGTGTGAACACCAAACATTATGCCCATTGTGCAAGTTGACATACAGTTGTTTCGGCACACACAAGAGAGGCAAGTGTGCAGAAACAACTGTATGTCAACCTGCGCTTTTCATGAGCAGAAGATTTGTCACTGGTTGCTGTTCACACATGATATATCTCTAATTAATGGTCTCACTGGACTTTATACTCTATGTTGATTTTTGTGCTCCAAAAGCCAAAATGGGTTTGTCAAAAACAGATCATGCCAACTAATCTTATTGCATTCTTTGACAAAGTGACAAACTTAGTGGACCAGAGGAATACTGTCAATATAATTTACTTGGACTTCAGTAAGGCATTTGATAAAGTAGACCATAACCTACTACTAGATAAAGTAGAAAAATGTGGGTTAGACAGCATCACCACCAGATGGATTCGTAACTGGCTGACCAACCGCACTCAACGTGTAGTCCTCAATGGAACTGCATCTACATGGAGGGAAGCATGCAGTGGAGTACCCCAAGGCTCTGTGTTAGGCCAGTACTCTTCAACATCTTCATCAATGACTTGGACGAGGGGATAGATGGGGAACTCATCAAATTTGCAGATGACACCAAGCTGGCAGGAATAGCCAACACTCCAGAAGATAGGCTTAAGATACAGAAGAATCTTAACAGACTTGAACATTGGGCGTTATCTAACAAAATGAAATTCAATGGTGAAAAAAGAAAGGTTCTACATTTAGGCAAGAAAAACAGTACAGTAGGTACAGTATACGTGCTACCTTGCTCAACTGTGAGAGGGAGTCCTAGTGGACAACCATTTAAATATGAGCCAGCAGTGTGCAGCAGCTGCCAAAAAAGCCAATACAGTTCTAGGGTTCATAAACAGAGGGATAGAATCAAGATCACGTGAAGTATTAATATCACTTTATAATGCCTTGGTAAGGCCACACTTGGAATACTGCATCCAGTTTTGGTCGCCGCAATGTAAAAAAGATGTTGGGATTCTAGTAAGAGTGCAGAGAAAAGCAATAAAAATGATTAGGGGATTGGAGGCTAAAACATATGAAGAACGGTTGCAGGAACTGGGTATGTCTAGTTTAATGAAAAGAAGGACTAAGGGAGACATGATAGCAGTCTTCCAATATCTCAGGGCTGCCACAAAGAAGAGGGAGTCAAACTATTCTCCAAAGCACCTGAGGATAGGACAAGAAGCAATGGGTGGAAACTAATCAAGGAGAGAAGCAACTTAGAACTAAGGAGAAATTTCCTGACAATTAGAACAATTAATCAGTGGAACAACTTGCCTCCAGAAGTTGTGAATGCTCCAACACAGGACATTTTTAAGAAGATGTTGGATAACCATTTCTCTGAAGTGGTATAGGGTTTCCTGCCTAAGCAGGGGCTTGGACTAGAAAATCTCCAAGGTCCCTTCCAACTCTGTTATTCTAAAACCTAAATTGCAAATAGCTGGCCCATGAAAAGAAAATCTTATTTACAAGTTTTGTATGGCTGCCCAACACAACCAAAGTAACTTTTGGTGGCTTCACCAAACTTCAACATAAGTTGAAAATACAAAACCATAATACATAAACTGATAAACAATAGTAAAATAATTAAATGGCAATCCAAACAGAAATAATACTCTTATCCAATTGGGGCTCCAACCTATCATGTCCTGGGAAAAAACCAAGGTCCTGGCAGTTTTTCTAAAGGCAAAACGCAGAATATTAACTCCCTCTTTTCCATGGACCTATTCTGGCATCTCCCTTCCTCCTTCAATCCTCTTGAAAGAAAGCTCAACCATGCACATCCCAAACACTATGAAGATGCTGTCAGTGTTCCAAGTAATGCACCCATAGAAGTCAGAACTCCGAAGCAGGCAAATTCCTCAAAGAACAGTTTTATTGGATACATCATATTGGCACAACTGGTGAAAGCTGACTCTAAAAGTTCCCACAGCTTTCATCTAATTAAAAGTAAAAGTTTCCCTTTTCCCCCAGATCACTGGTCAAGCTGCCCAATCCAGTTGCTGGCCGGTTGCCTGGTTACTTGCTCCTCCTCTAGCCAGCCACCTGTCAGAATGTCCTTGGTTCCCACAGGAAAAAAATATTGTTTTGGCTACAAAACCCCATTTAACTATTCCCCCCCCCAAGATGGCCTCAGCCAGGTTTACTTAAGGTTGACAGATGTCATATCAAGCTTGGTGTTTGCATTCCTAGCGAGTGTAACTATTGCCCTAAAGGTATCCAATATTTATTCTTACTTCCTTAAAATTGTTGTGCCAACAAAGTATTTTGTTTTGCATGCAAATGAAAAACAGATCATTACTCAGCTGTGTTTTTAGGAAATGCGATGCTATTCCATCAGCAGTTTTTCTAACTTGTGATTCTCCAGATACACAAGGGTGAAACTCCTGTTAACACTAGCAATTACAGTTGAACTCAAGTGGAGATTGAGGAAGCCTATATTAAGCCAACAGGATTTCCAACCATCTTGCAAGATGATGGTCAAAGGATAAGAAACAAAAACAGTGTCTTGAAAGTTAAGGGGAAAAAAAGCCTTTATGGAAATTCTCAATCATTCAGGTCATGGTTATCCCAAAGGTGTTTTTTTTTCAAAAGGCAATTGAGCTTTGGTTTTTTTCCCCCTCTGAAAATGTTTTGCTTCTCATCTGTTCTTGGATGAGAAGCAAAATGTTTTTTTTTTCTTTTAAAAAAGAAAAACCAAGAAAGTCCAATTGCCTTTTGGGGGGAAAAAAGCATCTTTGGGCCTAAGAAGATATTATTTATGAGGTTTGGATTCCTTAATCTTGATCTACAACACTGTTTCCATGATGGACCTCTTGGCAAAAATGGACTGCAATCACTGGAAGAAACATAGATTTGGAAAGGGAAACCCTAAGCTTTTCAAGACAGTTTTAAACTGAATTTGGGAGAAGGACAGAGGCATAGACTTTAATAGTGATGGACTTTGATCAGACTAAGTCAGCATAAAGACCAGTGGTGGGTTGCCCCCGGTTCGCACCGGTTCTATAGAACCGGTAGTAAAACCGGTGGGAGGCTCCGCCCACTGACCCTGACATCATCAAAACTGCTTCTGCGCTTGTGCGCTTGTGTGCGGCCCCATTGCAAACCAGTAGTAAAGGTAAGTAGAACCGACACCTGATAAAGACAGATTTTAGACATGATGGAATGGCAATTAGACCATCTCTGACTTCCAAGAGATATATTTTGAGGAAGCCAACTTTACAGTACAGGTAGTCCTAAATCTTACAACCATTTGTTGAGTATTTAAAATTATAGTGGCACTGAAAAAAGTGACTTATAATAGTCCTTACACTTACAACTGTTGCAACATCCCCATAGCCACAACCACCCCAGCCAGCTTCCAACCAACAAAGTCAATGGGGCAATCTGGATTCTCTTAACGATGCATGGTTCACTTAACAACTGCAGTGCTTAATAGAAGTAGGAAAAAAAGGCAATAAAATCAGGTGCATCTCATAACCACCTTGCTTAGCAATGGAAATTCGGGTCCCAATTGTGGTTATAAGTTAAGGACTACCTGTCTCAGGACAATTACTGTAGATACGTAAATCAACTTATACTGTGATGCAAAATCTATAAGAGCATTCTCATCTACAGTTATACACAATTTAAAGTGGTCCAA